GTCTTCCAAAGTTTGAAAACAAGTAAATCTGAATAAAAGAATTATTTCTGCATATCATCTGACGAAATATTTTGTTCAGCATGCCAACTTTAACATGTCATCATCCACTAGCAGAGAATATCGGTAGTAATATTCATAAGAAGCCAGGAGAAATAAAATTTTATTGCTCTGTGACCCAAGCCCACATCCATCACTGAGGTCTTCGACTGATTTAAATAGGCACTGGATAATTTTGAAGATCTGATGAATACAATTAAACAGTAGCGAAGACGGCCTCAGAGGAAAGAAAAATCTCTGCGTAATTATTAACACCGACATAGGTGCATTCCCTGTGTGACAGTGACAGAAATGTCCTCCTTGCTAAGAGCGGTGATTTTGGCACACAGAAGCAGCTGAAGGACTTGTGACCTCTCAAACCTCCAGCCTGATGCGCGTTCTGAACATTGTCTCCAATCTTGTCAGTCTCTTGAATGCTGAGTTTATACATGATTGACTCCCAAATGGTACAAGAATGTCCTTAGTATTATTTCTACAAGAATCCTTCCTAATTTTGAAGCCTTTTTTTGTTATATATTACAAAAATACAGGTGTTCTCAGTGGGGAGCCTCCCTGCAGAGACACATCAGATGTGGCTGGGAAAAGGAAAAAACACCATGAAAGCAAAGGGATGAAGCACCAAACTTACAAAAAAAAAAAAATACTGCAGTAATTTTTCTCCCTTTGAAAAGTGTTTTGTCTCTGTTCACCTCTGGGAAAGTCACCTACACTTCTTTAGCCTGGTGAAAAAAAACCCAACACTATGCAACCCACCACTCCCTGTTAAAGCCAGTGCTGTTAAAAGCTCTTTGGGGGTTTGAACAGTGAATGAGCCTTCATGGTGTTTGCACCATTTTACATAAACCACTGTACTTTCACGTCCTCCATGTCCCAGCTTCTGGAAAACTAGCTAAGATAGCTTCACACGTTCTGTTTTTTTATTGAAATGAACTCCTCTGTCATTAGTTAACTCAGACAGAAAACATACACATTACTGTATTACTGCACTGACCCTCCTTTGGTACGGAGTTATCCAGGACTAACAGAATAAGCCGTAACAGAAGATTTGGCTGGCTCAGAGGTCATTTAACAGTGCCACGTATTGCAAGGTAAGATAGAGAAACAATAACACAAAATAGAAATGGAAAATAATCGGGGATCTTGAAGGTCAGCCGTCACTCACGACTAGATTAAGTAGCAATGACTCAAAGCCAAACTGCACTGTACATTCAAATCATTAAAGTACAAGGGACAAAAAAAGAAAAAAACCAAAAAACTGAGCTAGCAAGAACTGATCATGCTTAATTAGGGAATAAAATGCATGACAGGAGCAAGGTGACTTTCACGGAAGAAAACATGGTGATGGGAGGCACAAAACCATTGGCACAGATGAGTTGCAGAGTGACACCACAAGGATATGAGGATTATAAAAACCTACTTGCACTTCCAGTGAACTCTGCGCTACAGCTAGGCAGATGCATTAGTTCTTAAGAGAGAAACCATTAAAAAAAGTCTTACAGCAGTTTCATCTGAGAGAAACCAGTTTTTAAAAAAAAAAAAAAAAAAATCTTTTGGGGGGATGTTCTCAGTAAAATGGCCCGACTCTTTTTATAGTTCATGGCAAAATACACATTTCTTGAAAAAGCGTATCTTACTAATCCTGAGTACTCTAGCTTTGTCAGTGGCTTATGTTACTAGTCCTGAGTACTCTAGCTTTGTCAGTGATAAGTAATTAAGACACATTAAAAAGCAACAAATCGCCCCTAAGTTACAACTCAAGAAAAATTGGGGGGGTTTTCAGATCCATAAGGTCAACCTGTGCTTCTAGCAAGAGAGTACCTTCTCTCTGTCTTTCAAAGCAGAAATGTTCCCTTTCTGATGCTCTTAGGCTCCAAAGGATGAAACCCCCTGCCAAGTACCTATGCCAAGGCGAGAGATTACATCGTAGAGCCACCATCAGAAATCATTTACCAGCTGAAGTCATAAACTAAAAATTTCTAATGGAAAGTGGTAATTTGACCAGTTTTCTGTATTGCCCTAATCATGCTCCTAAATTCTGGGGGTGGGCTAAAAATTGCCTTCCTTCAGATCTGAGATAAGATTGTTTTTAATATTCTGTGTGAAGCTGTTGTATAAACCCACTGCTGGAGATGCCATCTTCCTGCACCCCAGTGTTAGCCCACCCACTTACTCCAAAAACCTAGTCAGGTAAAGCCTCGACGAGGAGAAAAACCCCTGCTGGGGGGATGCACGAGCATCTTCTGATACCCACCTACCCCTCCACCACACCTGCAGGGAACTGGATCCAAGGGAACTGTCACACCACCAGCACGGGGACTATTTTGAAGAGGACAGGCTACCGGGGAGGTGGGGGGACACCCTCTTCACCTCTTTGCTCTCACTGCTGAAGGTGTTCCACTGCCCCGTAGTGCTGCTGGAGCAGGGTGTAACACGCAGCATCGGACTGGGCAGCCTCTTGGCGCGCAGGAAGAGATATTCTGTTTTCCCTTCCCCATTTCCCTGGGCTGTTTCTGACGTAATATGGACAAAATAGGATAAAATATAGGCGTTGCCCCGGGAGCTAGAACCTGCACCGAGTGTCTGCACCTCTTGCATCTGGATATCATAGGCTTTTTGCACAGATCTGGGAAGTTTAACATGCTGTACTAACCTTAAAACTTGAGGAGTAACTAGAGAATGCAAAAATCTAAATTCTGGTTAGGGTAATCCATTACTGCACCACCAGAAGCAGTTTCCTTCATTTTTACTTGGAAAAATGATTTTATTCTGGGCAAGTTTGTCAGAAGCAGTTTCCTTCATTTTTACTTGGAAAAAGTTTGCCTAACTAGCAGGGCTAGAACTGTGGTTAACTCCCGGCAACACAGGATTGCAATAGTAGAGAAACAGTAACATACTAATCCTCAACATCATAGGTTGAACCTGGTTCTGAGCATGGGATTTCTGTTTTTCAAGCTTCCCTAAGCCACAGTCACAACAGCCTTTTCTAAGGACAGCTGTAAGGAGATATTACACTGAGATTCCATATCAACAGCAAAGAAAATGCTCAGGTAGATGTCAATCTTCAGTGACAAGCAGTCAAAAAGATAATCCAAAATGACAACATAATCAATTAATATCAAAGACTACACACACAAATCATTGCTTGCAGTCAAAACTGGATTGCAGCAGAGGCAACCACAAAGGGATTTCAATCACACATCTCCTGCACTTCTTCCACCCCATATCCCGAGGGGAGGGAAGACAATCCCCAAACCAGTATTTGGGACTTGACATCCAAAGAGGCTCAATCCTAAGTGCATAACATCCACAAAGCCCATCAACTGCCTAAAGGACATTCCCTGAAGCACGGCTGCTAGCACAGATCCTACCTTTTCCCCCAGAGATCACGGAGGGGCCATCGGTTGCCAGGGAAGCAGGATGGTCCCAGGTGAGGCTGGTCAGGGCCCTTAGCAAGGACCACCACTGAATCAGCACCTACCACTCAATTTAAATCCACTCAGCTCACAGTGTGGGTATTATTAAAGGGAAAAAGAATTCACATGTTGTTCAATTTGTGAGCCAAAACTTGACATAAATATTGGTATTGCTTTTACTACCTTTGGTCATTTGTCTTGGAAATAAGATGGCTTTTGATTTTTGAGCTGAAAGCTTACAAATGTTTCTAAATAAAATATTCCAGTTGATGTAAATATTTCAATAGAAACAGAGCTTAAAATACTCTTTTTGCAATTTTTAAAGACTGCTTTAAAATGTTCTGTAGAGAAAGAGCTTAAAATACATTTAAGTTCCAGTTAGTAAGTAAATAACTAAAAAACCACACCAACAGCATTTTTTTCTTCTCTTGGTTTGAATGTATTCTCTAATGTCTACACTGGGAAATGCTGATTATTAGCATCATTTTCAAACATAATTCTTGGTTTTAGACACATGCAGCTCCTAATTCTCTCACCAAACTCTTCTCATTAACAGTTATCTTTAAAAAGTAAGCTCAAGTGTAGAATTAAGTGGAAAGTTTTAGTAGCTTGTAGGTATGTATACTTGATATTCTTAGCTGCAGAGGGGGATAGCATCAGTTGTAATACTAAAGAAAACCAAGCATAAACCTAGCAGTAAGTAGAGCCGTATAAAAGAGTTCATTGGAGTCAGTCATTCCTATGAGCCTTACTTTTATTCAAAAATTGTCTTTTCTGTACAGACTATTTTGCTTTTAAAATAATAGGGTTTAGCTGTTCGTCGTTCTAACCACCGAAACAGAAATGTTGAAGTCTGAATACTTGTTGTAAACCTTTCAGGTTGATAAATGAAAGATAATAACCCCTTGATCAATGTAACTTTTATTTATTCATCTGGGAACATGGCAAGGATATCATAGGCAACAACGCCGCCTAGGAGAACATGGATTTCACATAAACTGTTTTGGCAGAAACACGCATTTAAATAATCATCCAAATCACCACCTCACCATTTCTATCTTTAAAAAAAAAAAAAAAAATCCACAACAAAAAACCAACCAACCAACCAAAAAACAACAGAGAAAAAGAAACATAAGATCTGAACAAACGAACAGGCTACAATTTTTTTCTGTTTAATGTCTATGCCAGCCGCATCTGTCCCTGATTTTAGAAGTTGTAACACTGACAATGGCACCTTTCATTTGCAAGCACACTATCAACATGAACTGACTGTAATTACACCACGATAGCTCACCACAGCTAATCAAGGCAGCTGCCTGGTCCTCCCTCAGCCTGGGGAAGAGCTGAATTACGTGTGTGCCGCCAGCTCCCTGTACGACAGCATCTGCATCCTGCAAAGTGCTACACGTAGAAGTGAGTTTAGCCTGAAGTGACTGACCGAACTATAGCATGAAATCAAACAGGTTTTTCTACTCAGTGCTAACATTTTCTTGTATAATCCAAGAAGAACTGGCCAGGACAGGATGCAATTTAATGTAAACCATTTGGAGTGAAAGGTGTTATTTTGCCTAGTGAAATCTCCCCCTCACAGTCCAGCTCACAGACAGAGTCAGTGGCAATCTCGTGGTCAGGGGAGAGCTGAGACATCCTATCAAAAGGGTCCTCACGATTTTCCTCACAGTTGACCACATTTGGGATCATGTTAACATAAGCAGTCACTATCTCCTTATGAAAAAGGGTGTCCTGGTTGTAAGAGATAAGCTCGTTGCTTATATTAACAGTCTCCACTGGAGTGCTAGAGCAAAACTGACCACATCCCAGGAGGTTGGAGAAGACCTTTCTAAAGTCAGCATTGAAGGCATAGATGATGGGGTTGAGAGAGGAGTTGGCCCAACCAAACCAGACGAAGATATTAAAGGTGGTCTCACTGACGCAGGGAAGGCCAGCGTGCGGGTCGCTGGGTGGGCTCTCGCAGAAGGGAACCATGCAGTTCAAGATGAAGAAGGGCAACCAGCAGCAGACGAAGACGCCCATGATGACGGAGAGAGTCTTCAACACCTTGGTCTCTTTCCTGATGGAGGACTTGAGGCTTGTGTGATGGTGGCAGTCAAGGTGGCTGCTCCGGCAGCTCTGTGCATGCTCGGCTGCCCTCTCCAGGGAAGAGATACGACGAATCTGCACCTGGGCAATGCGGTAGATTCGAGTGTAGGTAACTATCATGATAGCCACCGGGATATAAAAACTGATCAAGGAGGACGAAATGGCGTAAGTCCTGTTGAGGCTGGAGTCACAGCTCTCTGATGGTCTAGTGAGGGTATCATTGCTGCCAGAGGTCCCATCAGAGGGTCTCATTGCTGCTAATGCCACCCACGTGGTGCTCATATCTTCCGCCCAGGTGCTGACAGCACTTGCTGCTGCCCAGCCAGTACCAAATCCATCTCCAATATCACCAGCAGCAAGAACATCCCCACTTTTGTGCCAGTTGAGCTGGACAGGGATGAAGGAGATGAGCACAGACAAAGCCCATGCCACACTGATCATCACCAGAGCCAGTCGTTGGGTCATCTTCCTCTCATACCGGAACGGGCTGGAAATAGCCCAGTACCTGTCCACACTAATCACACACAGGTTCAGGATGGAGGCCGTGGAGCACATGATATCAAAGGCCACCCAGATGTTGCAGAAAGCCCCAAAGGGCCAGTACCCGGCCACCTCAGCCACCGCCTTCCAGGGCATGACTAGCAGAGCCACCAGCAGGTCCGAGACAGCCAGGGACACGATGAAGATGTTGGTCACCTTGCTCCTCAGGTGCCGGTAGCGGACGATGGCCGCGCACACCAGCACGTTCCCAAAGAGCGTCCAGAG